GGGAGGGGGTCGTCACAGCCCAGAGGGAATGAGATGCAAGGCTCCCCCACCCCATGTCCTTGCTGGATGGGAGGCTGGGGCCTGGCTGAATAGGGCAGTTTGGTCTGTCAGGTTCCTGTCCTGCTGGGAGGTCCTCTCCTGGTCCCTTGGCCAGAGAGACACTTTTCCTTGGGTGTTTTGGTCTTTTGCCCATTGGTGTTTCCAGGTTGCCGGCTTCTTCATACTCCAAGCCTGGGATAACGATGCAAAAAGAAGACGTAAGGGACTCACCGCCACACTGTCCCCAGGCCCCCTGCTGCTCTGCCGCCTCCCCTCCGCCCTTCCGAGCCTCCTCGTGCTTGCTGTGTCTGTGCCATCCGGGGTTTTCAGTTGGGCTAAACGGGGGACGTGCCCTCAGTCTTCCCACCACACGAGCCCCTTTGCCTGCTCTGAATCCAGCTCTCAGCCAGTAAGAACAGAGTGCTCTGGACAGCTTGTGTGGTTGCTTTCAGAACTGATAACTGAGCTTCTCAGAAGCGCCTTCTAAGTGCCTTTCTCACACAGCCTCTGTGCTTCCCGCATGCTATACCTGTGCACGGTCTTCACAGTGTGCCCCACCCCCTCTCCTCCAGGATCAGCTTAACCATCACACGCCCTGACCGTGGCCAAGAGGACCCTTGGAGCACCTGCATCTCACTGAGGGCATGGGGCGGTCTGGCACTCGTGCCCATTCCAGACCTCAAGGAAATTACTTTCATTGAAACCATTCCCTAGTGGAAATATTAAAACACACACCGATACAGAATTGTGTGCTGAGCCCGAGTGCCCATCAGGCAGCGCCAGCATCACCAGCCATGGCCCCTCACTTTCATCCGTATCTACGTTTTCCCACCACGTGGGATCATTTTATAGTAATAAATCCCAGGTATCATTTCGTCTGTAAATATTTCAGTATACATCACTAAAAGATAAGCACTATTTCCACACCTAAACTGACTGAAAGTTATTTCTTAATACAATCAGCTATCCAGACAGTATTTTTATTTAAACTTCTCAATTGCAGAGTCAGTCTGATTCATTTTAGGTTCTTGTAATATCCAGTGCTGTGCATTTCATATAATAAACTTCCAGAAATTTATGTTGAAATAATTCATGAATATAAAATGTTAATGCTTTAAAAACTATCTGGAACACTCTCTTAAATAAACGAGTCTCGATAAAAACTCATTTAACCTTTAACTCATTTAACTGTATGTTTACCAGATATACAGTGAGAGTTAATGTCATTGACAAATGATTGTCACGGAAACTGTTTTACATATATGTTATATGAGAGAGATGTATAAGGTATAAGCATGATTTAGCACATTTTAGTCACCGTTTTCTTAAAAGCAATAAATTTGCCTCTTAACTGATTTATAATATAAATTTAATTTCTGTAAAAAAATGTGACTACAAAATTTGCAGATCTTTTTTCTCAATGGCAATTTGACGGGATTCTTTATTACAGATTATACGTTAGTACAGTCCTGCAAGGTATAGCCAAGGTATTTAGGAAGAGGAAACTCTTAAATTTGTTAATAATTATATAATTGGAATAATTGTTCTTTGAGGATTTGTTGTGGTTTCTCCTGACAACAGAATAATAAGTTATACTAAGAAATTAGATCAGATTTGAACAATTATGTGCTTTTTAGTTTCGTCCATGTGACGCTACTCAGTCCAGGTGAGGGGAGTAGTAGGGTGAATGCTGTGGCGTGTTCTTCCATAACCCAAACCAAAGTCTCCCCAGAGCAGAGATCAAGTGGCAGATGGGCGGGAGTTGTGTTTGGGGTTTGTCTTGATGAGAGGTGGCTTTCTGAGATTTAAGTGTGTCACCCTTCCCTTGGTTCGGAGCTCTCCATGGTCCTGAGCCCTGGAATCCAGGCCGTCCTCCGCAGCGTGGCCCGAAATCTTCCCTGCCATGGTACCCGCCCCCCCACCCCCCGCAACAGCAGAGTCCTGGCTGGGATCCTTGGGGGGACGCTGGGGGTCCTGTACCATGCTGAAGAGGTGGGAGAATGTTCTGTCCAGAGGGCAGACCTAACCGTCCTTGTTCTGCGATTTTTTTCCACAGAGGAGACTTACCTCGTATGACTGGTACACTCAGTGTCATTTTCTTGCTGTCTTTCAGACAGAAACAGTCTCCGCCAGTCAAGAAACCCTCAAAAGTATTTTGTCATGGATGCAGAAGATGAAGAAAACATGAGTAAGATCTAGGCCTATCACGTAGTATCAAGCGGCTTATTAAAAGCTTAGTGTTGTGAATTTATTGAATGGGACCAACTTGGGGAGGGTGATTCTTTTCCTTCGATACAGACTGTTAACGGTGGCATGTGTTTAATTTTTATGTAATCTCTACAGTAGGTATCGGTGTCTGCTGTGGGCATTTCCTTACAGCCGTTTGTCTGGATTTTCATTCCTTGCTGTCGTCCTGGGGTCCTGATGCACATGCCCGGAAGGGGAAGGCTTGCCTCCAGGTGCATGTGTCATAAAGCCGCATGGCTTCGTGCTCTGTCACTGCATGGTTCTCATGATCATGGTCCGATTTCCATCTGTGTAAATCTGAGATAACCTTTGAGATTGGTCATTTGGGGTGACAGTGCATAAAATCTTCCCTTCAAATACGGTGGGTTGTCCGTGCGTTTTGAAGGAAGGGGACTCGCATCAGTCTGTTGATCTTGTTTCCAAAGACTTTGATGGGCCTTTGGGCCGGCGTGGCCTGAAACCCCTTTCCACACTACCCTCTGGGATGGAGGGGATGGAGGGGACGGAGGGGCAGAGAGCCTCAGCTTTCCCCCTCTCGACATTGTTCATAGATGTTCATAGATGAAGAGTTCAGTGAATATACTTCTCTATTCTGTTTTGTCTTTAATCCCGGATAGAAGAGCATTTGCATAAGGTTAAATGCTCCCACAGAAGTTGGGAGCTTTCGGTAGGGAAATCACAACAGAGACATCAGTGTTCTGGTATGTGTGTAATGTGCATTGTTACTTGTCCATGTTGAGAGGTCCCGGGAAGAACCTGCAGGCGTGAGTGACGAACGGTCACCGAGGATGAGGATACAGTCCACCACTTTCCCTCGGCCTCACCCAGAACCCACAGCCGAGGCCTCGGAGTTGGCTTTGTCTGCACGCAGAAGCCAGGGGTTCTGCTCCACGAGTGTAGTGGGTGCCGTGGAGTTGCTGGGTCTTTGCTGGGTGACCCCGCAGTCATGTGCCCTCAGGCTGGAGGCCATTCCTGGGACGCAAGTGTGAGAAGATGTGACCAGGCGTGGTTTCATTCCATGTGGCAGCACCTCCTCCCGAGGCCACTGACTGCCCGTGGTGCTGCCCCCAGCACAGCTGCTCTCGGGGTCTTTGGAACCCAGCCTGTGTTCTCAGGGGTCAGCCCACTCCCCACTCCCTTTGTCACCCACGGCGCTGGTCATCAGGTATGGGAGGAAATGTCACAGTGTGTGTAGGGATATAACTATCCCCAGACTGATCCAGTAGTCTCTTACCGAGATAAAGAATCCTTCTGAATACATTTTCTGGAAAGATAAACTGTTGGCTCTAGTGCTGAAACTTGGAAATGCCAGTCCTGTACTTTCTATCATTTTGAAAGCGATGAAGAATTTTCATCATGGTTAATATTCACATTTATGAAATAAAGTAGCATGATATGGAAAGAGAAAGCATCTATTTAAGAAGAGTTATGATAGTGGGAGGTCTTTCTCCAATTTTAGTGTTTTATTTTCCTTTACATAGTAGCATTTTTAGTAAAGTAGAACATGAGCCGTATTTCCATGCTTCTGAAGCAAATAAGAACTTAGAATCTATGTGAACTATCTTATAGAAAGTGTATTTTTCTATAATCAATACGGATTATTTTTATTTTTTAAAAGAAAGCATTTGTTTGTTCCAGAGATTATAAACATTTGATTAAATGCATGTCAGGATATATTTATCGTGATCTGACTTCTGTTCAGTGGTGACGTCAGAATGTAAGCAGTCGTGGAGCGTGTGATGTTCTTGCTTTGTTAATCTCAATTCTGTCCTGCCCCACCCTTTCTAACCTTTTGTTTCCCTTGAGCACCGAAAGGAGTAACCTATTGAGCTTTTGCTGGAGGATGTTATAAATGAAAATTTAGTGTCCATTCCGTCAGCCTTGTCAACTGGGAGAAGTGGTGTGTGTCAGGAGTATGTACGCGTCAGGAGTACGCACGCAGGAGGCATGAAGTCTGTAGGGAAGGCGTGGCCATCTACCAATCTCTGCCACGGTGTGGTGGCAGTCTTCCCGTGGCCTGTGTTTAAACCAGGGCTGTTCTCACATCTCAGCTGAGTGGTGACAGCCCTGGGAATCTGAGAGCTTGAACTGTGGGGACTGGCAGCCGGTGACCCAGACTTGCTGCCACGTTAAGCCCCTCCTGTGGGTAGGGCCGATGAGCGTTTTCACTGTTTTTCTCAGTTTCCTTAGTATAGTCAGAATCTACTTTCACCTTATGTAGTAGAAACGGACCGAGGGCCACCGTACTGGGGTACTTGTAAACTGGCTTACAATTATGAAAAATATTTCCGTTGCTTAAAAGACTTATGTGGATTCTCAAAAACTAGTGGTAGGTCTTCAAGTACATTCATGTCAACAGTATTGTGAAGCCCTGTGATAGTTTACCCCCGAGCTTCCTGCGGCCAACAGCGTGTGCAAACTAACCAGGAAAACAAGGAGTTACTTCTTTTTCTCTTTTTAAAAAAGCTTTATCTGATAAACTTAAAGGGGAGAGTGAATGCTTTTTTATTGCCCTTTCTGCAATTAAAATCATATTTATTTGGCCATGAACTTTTAGAGTTCTAAAATTATCTTTATTAATTGTAAAAATAAACTACCTTTAAATGGTAGGATAACTAAATTATTCTGTAAATGCATCAAATATTTGTTTTTCTAAAAAAGACAAAGATGCCACCTTCAGTTGGGAAGTTAAGAGAGCTGTGGCCGTCTGCAGTGTCAGTCTTCCTATCTTGCCTTATATATGTTTTTCTATCATGGGATGTATTAAGGTTTCAGAGGCAAATCGGTCCCCATACATAATGAGAAAATGTTAAATGAATACCAGAAGTGAAGCTATATCCTTCAAAATAATTTCTAAAAGGCCAGAATACTTTACATAAGCAGTTTTCTAAGATCCATGAACCAAACCAAATAGCTGCACATATGAATTGCATATTTTAAACCAGAAAAACTAAGTAACTTGTGAAGGCACGTTTTAAATAATGTCTTCTTTTCTGGGAAAGGCTGCAATTGAAAGCCCAGCATGAGTATAGTTTGAGAGTAGATGGCATTGAAAAGGAAGAAAATGCCAAAATAAAGCGTACGTTTGTCGATACTGACATTAGATTTATTAATGTAAGGTCTTCCTGGGTTAGTTTATCGTCCCACATTTTGATAAACTTGAATAAAATGCCTCTAGATGCTTCAGAATATTCTTGTAGAAAAAGCTGATTTAAAAATGCACCTTATAATGCAAAAGCAGTCCGTGATATTAAATAGAAACAGGATTAGTAGTTGTTTCTCAGAACGTCAAGTTACTCCAGTCATTTCGGTTCAGGTGGGTAGCTCTGTGGTTAAATGCACAGCCCCACACGTATGCAGCCAGGAACAAAGTGTATAAGCACACATCACTTAACCAGTTACAGAGGGCGATAAAGGAATCTATAAATTTTGCATTTACAAGATCCTGCAACGAAGGCGTTGTAAGTTACTCTTTCTGGGCACCGCAGGTTCGAGCAGCACAGATGTTAAGGAAAACTGCGGTCTGGACGGCGCGCCCCCCAAGGACGGCAGCGCCCCGGGGCCTGGCGAGCGCGCCCCGCTCTCCAACGGGGGTGGCGGGGCCGCCGGCAGGAAGCGGGCCCTGGACGAGAGCAGCAACGGCCCCTCCAGGTTCCGCCTGAAGAAGCGGAGGAGGGCGCCGGGGCCCGCGCTGCCCAAGAACGCGCTGATGCAGCTCAACGAGATCAAGCCTGGCCTGCAGTACACGCTGCTGTCGCAGACGGGACCCGTGCACGCCCCGCTCTTCGTCATGTCGGTCGAGGTCAACGGGCAGGTCTTCGAGGGCTCCGGCCCCACGAAGAAGAAAGCCAAGCTGCACGCGGCCGAGAGGGCCCTGCGCTCCTTCGTGCAGTTCCCCAACGCCTCCGAGGCCCACCTGGCCATGGGCCGGGGCCTGTCCGCCCACGCGGACTTCACGTCCGACCAGGCCGACTTCCCCGACGCGCTCTTCAACGGCTTCGAGACCCCGGGCAGGCCGGACGGGCCCTTCTACCTGGGCGCCAATGGCGACGACTCCCTCAGCTCGAGCGGGGACCTCAGCCTGGCTGCGTCTCCCGTGCCTGCCAGCCTGGCCCAGCCACCCCTCCCCGTGCCCCCGCCCTTCCCACCCCCGAGCGGGAAGAACCCCGTGATGATTTTGAACGAGCTGCGCCCGGGACTGAAGTATGACTTCCTCTCGGAGAGCGGGGAGAGCCACGCCAAGAACTTCGTGCTGTCTGTGGTCGTGGACGGGCAGTTCTTCGAGGGCTCGGGGAGGAGCAAAAAGCTCGCCAAGGCCCGGGCCGCGCAGTCCGCCCTGGCTACTGTCTTTAACTTGCGCCTGGACCAGACCCCGTCTCGCCAGCCTGTCCCCAGCGAGGGCCTCCAGCTGCACTCGCCACAGGTGAGGAAAGCCGCCCGAGCGCGGCCGCGTGTTGCTCACGCTTTTAGACGGGGTGCGGTTGCCGTGGTCACTGGTGTCTTCTCGTCGCTCTGTCCTCAGCATGGGGAGGTCCTGGTAAGTCCGGCTGCCGGGCGGCCTTCCCGTGACTGTGCCGGTTGTGTGGCCGCTGCGAAGCCCAGCCAGGGCCGTGAGGTGCAGTGTGGCCAGTGCCGCCCACGGCGGGTGGGCCGAGGTGCCCTCCCTGTGCCGCCTGCCCCTGTGGCGACCACAGCCCACGGCAGCCTGTCGCGGAGGAGACGGGAGGGGAGGGGAGGGCCGGAGCCCTGGCACCCTGCCCCAGCTCAGTGGGGTCCCCCCTCCGTGTCTCACCTGGGACCCAGGTACAGGACAGGTGAGGCTGGCGGGTCAGCAGCTGAAACCCAAGTCTGGGTCAAGTGCCAGCGCCTCGCAGGTCCTGTCCAGGCAGAGGCCGAGCTGCAGCGGTGGCGAGCACACGTCAGAAGGGCCGGGGCGTCGGGGCCTCTGCAAGCGCTCCAGAGCCCGCCGGGTGCCTGGGGGTCTCGGCACCTGGAGTTCCCCAAGGTGTCCCTGCGGCTCCCCTGCTCAGCCGGAGGTGGGCACCCCTCTTGGTTTGGTCTTGGACAGGGCGAGAAGGGGGAATATCGGGGTGAAATTTCAGGGTGAAGAGAGGGGACATTTCAGGGTGGGCTCTGAGGAGAAGGAAGGAGGAAACGATGCTTTGTTGTCGTCTCAACACCCTAGAACTCCTCGGTTATTTATTGCTGCTTTTCCTGGAAATCCAAAATGATTCTGGTCTGTTGTAAAAACGTTCCTTTCAGGGAGAAAGTCTGACCCACTTCTCTATTCCTTTCTGTCAAAATATTATTCACTTTGAAGATAAAATACACACTGATCTGAGGAGAAAAAATGGAGGACTCCGAATTGACAGGACAGCCCACATTCGCTCAGGAAACTCGGCTTCCGTCTTGCCTTTCTGTAACCTCTGTGCAGTTGTCACCCGAGAGGACCAGTAGTTCTCGGCTTTAAAAAAAGGAAATTTATTTTCTTTCGCTTAAAGCGACCAAATACGGCATCAGTATAAAGTAACACATTCAGAGTATTTCGCTGATTTTTTATGAGCCAAGTAACCGCTTCCCGTGCATTAACTTGTTGTTAATATTATTCATAAGAACCGTTTAGTCCATTTATCATTTCACACATCGGTGGCGCTGGTTCCCAAGGGATTCTTTATTTTCAGGTTTACTATTTGTTAGAGTATTTCAGCCTGAGCCACAGTGGCCCTGTCTTCCTTTACCATTGGCAGTCCTGTGAAGAGACTGGACTCATCAAATGCCGTGACCCCCGGTGCTTGGTTCTGCGTGGGTGACACCTCGGCGGGCGGAGGTCTGCGTGTGCGTGTGCGTGGGTGTGTGCGTGTGCGCTGGCAGCCTGCCTCTGCCCTGGCTGTTATGTCAGTGGGGAGCAGTGACCAGAGCCCCTGGCTGGTGGAGCCTTGCCCGGGAGGGGCCGTCTCCGCCCTGCCCAGGTGGCCTCTGTGGCCCAGGCCAGCCAGGTCTGGGAAGGTGGAGCTGTCTCTCCCCCCGCCTGAGCCCGCCCCGCTCACAGGGCCCCCAGGGTGGCCCCCAGCCCCCGAGCGGTACCTCAGGAGGTAGTCGTGTCCTCATCGCAGGACCTGTGCCGGTCAGTCCTTTCTCTTTCCCCTGGGAATTTCCAGACGTACGGTCTAGAGGGGGTGAAACGTCCTGCTGTCTTGCGGGTGGAACTCTTGAAGGGCGTGGGCTGGCCACCCCTGGTCTCAGGACTTTTTGCCTCCATGGCGTTCACGGCGGCATCAGAGGGTTTAAGATCAGATGGCGTTGCCCACATGGTGTGTGCGCAGGGCGATCTGTCAGTGAACTTGGTGGACGTGGCTGGACCGAGCTGTCCCGCGGGGCCAAGCCTCGAGCTGACTTTGAGAGCATGTACCCTTCGTTATCATATCTGCCCCGAATCTAGAGGGAGATTGCTTCACGCCCAGTCCCTTCGGGGGACAGGAGGGCTGGCCTGGGCAGAGGCTGTCAGTGCAAGTGCCCGACTCCACGCTTTCCTGCTTTTCTCTGAGAGTCCCTGCATGGAGTGGGCCTCTGTTTCCTCTGGCTTCCCCTTCCCCTCCTGCCGTTCTCTTCCCACCGGAGGGCATCGTCGCCATCGTGTGATTGCACATCCTGACTTTCTGTCCGTGGCCTCGCTACCTTTCCTGCCTGCACACCTCCGCCCTCTGTGCCGCTGTCTAGGGTGCAGAGTGGGGCCCCGTCCCCTGCTCTTCTGGCCACACTCTGTGCCTTTGGCCTTAAGCACCGCCTTCTGGGGCTTGTTGCTGGCGCAGCGGCCGGTGAAAACATCCTGATGACGCTTCTTCCCAGAGAAGCCACCGTTTAGGGCAGGTGGCCTTTCTGTTCATTTGGGAGTATTTAATTGCGGGCCCAGCTGGGGACTCCAGACCAGTGTGAGCTGGTGGGACGTGGCTCCCGCGTGGCTCCTGGCACACACCTCCCATCAGGCATCGTTTCCCAAAACACCGAGCGTCCGTTCTATCCAAGATGAGTCATAAGCTGTGGAAGTAGGACCGTGTCCAAAATCTCACCGATGTGTTCGCTTCTGAGAGGCACTCCCTTCAGTCCAGTGGCTCCCTGGCCTGGAAATGCACCACGAGAAGTCTTCTAAAATCACATTACACTTGCCCTGTACAAGTGTAGCCTCTGGTGCATTCTGGTGTCACTCGATCTAAGTGACAAATGCCCTTACGGGCTCTAAGCGATGCTGGTTTCTGAGTGGCTGGGCCGCAGTAATTAGTTTTAGATGTTGACATCACTGAGACACACATGGACCCGGGCGCCTTTGGGAGGGAGGTGCTGTGAGCTTAGTGATCCTGCAATGTGACCGCCCTTCAGACCTCCCCTTTCTCTTCCCACGTGTCCCCCGTGGGGCCTCGCCAGCCCTGAGCTGACTGGGCCGCACCTCCTGTGGTTTCACTTCTTCCCGAAGCCCTGCCACTCGGGGGCTGTGGCTGCGGGACTCGGAGCCGCAGAGGGTGGGAGGGGGGTGACCAGGCAGGCGCTCTCGCCTCCGGGCCTGGGTCCCTCCCCCGGGGCAGGGCTGTTGTGAGGAGGCCTCACCTGCTCAGGTGCTGGCTCCCATGCGGTTGGGCTCCAGACTGTCCTTCTGCAGAGACCCTCGCACGCCCCTTGGGCGTCTGTTTCCAAGGAATGTCTGGGAGGAAAAAATGTGCGCGCACGCACACGCACACGCACACACGCGCGCGCTCGTTTGCCAGACTTACCTTTGTGGTTCCAGAGGAGAGGCCCCGGAACGTGGCCCCAAGGGGAGCACTGAACCCCTGCTTGGTCCGCAGGTCTTAGCCGATGCCGTGGCGCGCCTGGTTCTGGAGAAGTTTGGGGACCTGACGGACAACTTCACCGCCCCCCACGCGCGCAGGAAAGTTCTTGCTGGAATCGTCATGACAACAGGTAACCACGTTGGCGGTGTGTCCACCTGCCTGCTTTCATGCTTAATAAAGGTGAAATGCTTTCAGTCTAGAAAAATCTCTGTGACACCAGCAGGAGGTCACTTTTTCATTCTCCTTCAGAACGTTCACCGTGTGCAGATAGAGGAACTGCGCTTATATTTTTCTGCTACAGGTTGATCTTTTTAACCTAAGGTTTTCATCTGGAGAAAGAGTCCTATATTAATATTTGATCCCTGTAATCTTACGGGAATGGCCTTGATCGACCCTGGAAACCTGCAGGAGAGCTGTTAGTTCTTACTTCACTTGGAAGTAGGACTTAATCTGATTTATCCGTTAATGTTAACGCTGCCAGATAAGTTTCTGTGTGACTTTTACGGGGGAGAGAGGAAGCCCTAGCAAGAGTAGAAAATCTGTGGGGGTAAAGCACGCTTTGGGATAGCAGAAGAAACCCTATTAAACTTGTGTCTAAGTTCCCAGCAGCGAAGGGAACCCTTCCTGAGTTCTCGTCCCACATCCCAGGAGTGAGCCCGCCAAGCAGCGTCTCCGTGGGTCCCTCCTGGGAACAGGAAAGCACGGCCTCGGCCAGTGCCTGCATCTTTGGGTGGCCGGGAGGACCCTCTGCTCCTTGGGGCTGAGTCTGGGGCTGTCCCTTTCTTCTCGGAGCATCTGCTTAGCCCAGCTGGCCAAGCCTGGCCTGCTGTGTGTAGGAAGCCAGCAAGAGGCCAGAGAGGGGGGCGGCGGGGGGTGGTTGATCTGTCTACACCCGGCGGGCAGGGGCAACCCCAGTTCCCATGGGGCGACTGCCCGTCCCTTTCTCCTGAGGCGTGGTTCACCTCTGATCATGGACAGGACCTGATTCTCTGATCCTCAGAGCTGACCACGCTCCGTGCCCTAGAGGACAGGATCTCGTTTTCTTGCTGTGTCTTTACCTTGGCACAGCTGAGAGCTGTCTGACGGGTAGGATGAATGCTCTGAACAGTCACTTGGGTTTCAGTGTTTGTTCTGATGTGAGCTGCCTGTATTTTGTCCCTCTGCTCCCTCCATCTCCTTGCTGTCATCCTGTACACACGTAAAGGTGAACGCGTATGCTGCTGGATGATGTAGTTTCCTAAGCAAGGCGCTGCCCTTCCCGGTGACGGGAGTGAGCGAGCCTGTGGTTTTTCATCCAGGTGTTTTAACCGCCTCAGAAGGGGCACGTTACCTCGTGGGGGCATTTTGCCCCATAGTGTGTGTTGCACTTGGGACCCTCCGCTCGAAGCCACGGTTTACGCCTGAAGGCAGCACCACACTGCGCGTAGCACGTGGTCCTGACGTCAGGAGACCTGGTTCAAATCCCCAGGCCGACTTTGAGGGCCCTGTGCCTCAGTCCCCTCATCTGCAAATGGAGACAGTGGTAGGATGGGCCTCGGAGGACATGGGAGGGAAGTGAGGTACCTTCCCCGACAGGCCACGCACAGGGCCTGCACCCTGTCATACGTGGTCTGTCTGTCGACACCTGCATATCAGAGTGATGGCTCCCGAGGTTCCCCAGTGCTGACGGCTGCACTCACTCCCCGTGCAGTTAAACGGTGCCAGACCGCCGACAGCCCCCTGCATGACTCCTGGGCCCCCGGGGTGAGTGTCAGGCAGTCCTCCCAGCCTCTGCAATGCTTTGATGTTACTTCCAGGATTCATTACCAGGCCAGTCTGTCTCTACACAGTGCTCCCCCATGTCCACTGGGGAGTGTTCAAGAAAAGACTAGTGCGTTCCAGGTGAAGTAACTTTCCAGGTAGAATCTTTACACGCAAGAGTGGGGAGGGTTACCCTCCCGGAATGTGCAAAGCAAGGCTCGGGGGGCCCGTTAGCAGCGCCCAGGTGAGGGTCAGTGGCAGGGTGCGAAAATGAGCTGATGTCTCCCAGGTCAGTCCCTGGGAATGTGGGTCCAGCCCGGGCGTGGCAAGGAATAGCGAGGAACGATTTCTCTTCTGTTTTTCAGGCACAGATGTGAAGGATGCCAAGGTGATCAGTGTTTCCACAGGGACAAAGTGTATTAACGGAGAGTACATGAGTGATCGCGGCCTTGCGCTGAACGACTGCCACGCAGAAATCATATCTCGAAGATCCTTGCTTAGATTTCTTTACACACAGCTTGAGCTTTACTTAAAGTAAGTTTAGCAAGTAAATAATAAAGGAAGCTGTTTCTTTTTAATTGTCCTCTCATCAGAATGTACTGCAAAACTTTCCACTGCTTCTGTAAGCACTGAAAAATTCTCAACCTAGTAACTTTCTGGGTAACAGTGAGGTTGGATCCCATTTCCCCATGAAGCCGAATTATAACACAGACACTTGCATGCACATACACGCCACACGTGTAGTCAGAGGGGCCATGTCTGTGTTTCAGACCCCGAGCTTTCATTTTATGCAGAAGTAAGTGCTGGGGAGGTGGGCAGTGCTGCCCCAGTCACTGTGCCCAGAACGGCTGACCGTGGACCTGACTGCTTCTCGCCACAGGCCACATCTGACACGCTTCCTTTCTGTTCTGAGGTCATGAATGAGGAGGAGGGGTTCCTTGCGTATTGATGGCCTGTCCCACTGGTGAGCAGACAGGAACTGTGCTAATTATCATTAACATATAAAATAAATACCCCGTTGTAAACACTGGCCTTTGCAAATCATCGTAAGCTATGACAGACTAAATTTTGATTGTATTCAGCTTTAAAGTTTATCTTTGCAACTTGTTTCCTTTCAGTAGCAAAGATGATCAAAAAAGATCCATCTTTGAGAAGTCCGAGCGGGGAGGATTTAAGCTGAAGGATAAGGTCCGGTTCCATCTGTACATCAGCACCTCCCCCTGTGGGGATGCCAGGATCTTCTCACCACACGAGCCCGTCCTGGAAGGTATGGCACTAGGCTCGTCCACGGCCGCAGTGTCTCAAGAAAACTCATGAAACACCTACATTAATATCCTTTCCTCTTTAAAAATTTCCACCTTGGATGTGGACCTGGTAGGAACATATAAAAACGTGAGGTTTTTCTTCTCAGTAAGTTGAAATTTTAATGAATGAAAATGTGGATTCTAATGAGAAGTTAGAGTAGAGTGAGGATATTAGATCAAAATTGTTTTCAGTTTTTAAATTTGGGTAATACCTGTCTCTGAATTGGAAGTGTACGTCATCATCCATGTTTCTGGGGAGTCATAGTTTAATGAGTGTGTAATCGAATTAGAAAAGCAGGTGCAGGCTGGTGGCCACCACGTGCCCTCCATCCTCCCTTGTTCTCACGTTTGTTAGTGCTCTTGTTTCATAGGAGTTTGTACCCACATCCCTTCTCACAAGCTTAAGCATTATTCATTCCAAATAGAACATTTGATTACATTATTTTTCTTGATTATAAAAGCAACATATACCCACTGTAGAAAGTTGCTAAATATTTTTAAAACATAAGAAAGAACATTTAAATCACTCCATAGTCATATAACCTGGAGATAATCGCTCTGGCTGTTTGTGAATGCTTCCTCTGAATTTATTTCTGCATCATTATAGGTTTATTTTTGAAAATTTAAATATACAGCAAAGAAATATAGCAAATACCCAAATATCCATCACCTAGAATTAGCAAATGTTAGCATTTTGTCCTGTCTGCTTCAGCTCGTTTCTAATGATAGAAATAAATCATTTTGATTAAAATGGAAGCCCTCTTTTCTCCCAACCACTAAGGAGACCACCTTCTTGAATTTGGTTTGTAGTACCTGTCAAATTTTATGTACTTACATTGTACACATATATCTTACGTGTATATGGCGTAAACATATGCACACATAAGTGAAAAGTGTATTTTGAATCGATAGGGTGTTGTTAGATGTGCTTTTCGGTGAGTTAAGTATATGGTCAACTACCGGTGGACCCTCCCAGGAGGATCTTACGTTTCTGTCTTAGAACCAGCAGACCGCCATCCGAATCGTAAAGCCCGGGGACAGCTGCGGACGAAAATAGAGTCTGGTGAGGGGACGATCCCAGTCCGCTCGAATGCCAGCATCCAGACGTGGGACGGGGTGCTGCAAGGGGAGCGGCTGCTCACCATGTCCTGCAGTGACAAGATGGCGCGGTAAGCACCCCCCACTGCCGAGTACGTGGGGCGCATGCTGCCATTCCCAGAAACACTGGGGCTTCACCCCCATTTCCTACCTCATGTGTTCCACAGATTCTCTGAAGGACTAAGGTTCTAAACAGGCTTCGGGGGTCACCTTGAGGGGATAAAGGTGGGGTCTCCGTGGGCAGAGGCTCTTGAGCCCTGTCCTTTTGGGTTTTTATGGAGGCGTCCCTACAAAGGCACTGTTGATTAGAATCATGGGCAATTGGTGTTTGAACTCAACCTCCAGCCCCCTCCCCATGCTTTAAGCAGGTTCGCCTACACCAGGAGATCAGGGGGGCAGGACTGAAAGTTCCCACCTTCTATAATCACGTAGTTGGCTCCACAGACAACCAGCCCCCCATCCTTAGGTGGGTAACAGAGTCCACCTCATTAACATAAGACACCTTTATGGCTCTAATCACTTAGGAAATTCCAAGGGTTTGGGAGCTGTGAGCCAGGAACCCCAGAAGAAGACCAAATACGTATAAGAAAAATACATTTTTGGTCATCTGAATGATCAAGTGTACTTTTCTGATGAATCACAATATAATTACTGTAGCTTCGTAGTAAGTCTTGAGGTCAGATAGTCTCAGTGTTCCAACTTTGTTCTCCAGTGTTGTATTGGCTGTTCTGGGTCTTTTGCTCCTTCATATAAACCTTAGAATCAGTTTGTCAACATCCACAAAATACTGTGCTGGGAGTTTGATTGGGTTTGTGTTGAATCTATAGATCAGGTTGGGAAGAACTGACATCTTGACAATATTGAGTCTTCCTATCCACGAACATGGAATATCTCTCCATTTACTTAGTTCTTTGATTCTTTTGTCAGTTTTAGAGTTTTCCTCATATAGGTCTTGAATATGTTTTGTTGGATTTGTGCTTAAATATTTGATTTTGGGAGGCGTTCGTGTAAATGGTGTTTTGTGTTTTTAATTTCAAGTTCTCCATGTTCATTGTCAGTCACAAATGATTTTTGACCAAAGGTTCAAAAAGCCAATTCGGTAGAGAAAGAACAGTCTTTTTAACAAATGGTGCTGGGACAATTGGACATCCCTATGTAGAAACAAAAAAAAATGAACCTGATATTTTGCACCATATACAAAAATTAACTGAAGATGTGTCATAGACCTAAATGTGTAAAAGTTCTAGAAGAAAACAGGAGAAAATCCTGGCAACTGGGATAGGCAATTTCCTAGACACGATACCAGAAGCACTCTCCATGAAAGGAAAAAGTGATAAGTTGGACCTCATCAAATGAAAACTTACTTCTTTGAAAGACACTGTTAAAAGAATGAGAAGTAAAGTCACCGACTGGAAGAAAATATTTACAAATCATGTATCTGATAAAGGGCCTGTATCCACAATATATAAAGACCCTCTAAACCCAACAAGGGGGAAAAACAATTTTTAAAATGGGCAAAATATTTTAATGGACACTTCACCAGAAAAGATGTCAAATTAGCACACGAGAAGACGCTCCACGTCGTTAATCACGGGGAGTGCAGGAGGGCTGTGAAGGCACGTGCTTGGCTCTAAGGCTAGACCCCTGCCCGGCGCGGCGGGGACCGCAGGAGCTGGAGCGCCATCCTCCCAGGCTGGGGACCGATGCTGCAGCCATTCTGAGGACAGCTTGGCAGCCGTGTGCCCCAGCTGTTCCACTCCTGTTTCCCGAGAGAAGGGGAAGCATTGTCCCCAGAGACTCACATAGGAGTGCTCACAGCAGCTTCCCTGTACAAGTCAAACACTGGAAGCAGCCCGAACTGCTGTCAGTCTATAAACGGGGGTAAGCAGGGGGTGTGTCTGTGCCACGGGGCACTGCTCAAGCAAGGGACAGAATAAACAGTGATGTACAGTCAGTGCATCAATTTCTAGAAAGTGCAAACTACGTCACAGTGACAGAAAGCAGATCAGTGGTTGCCTGGGGATAGGGGGCCAGAGCAGGAGGGGGCAGGAGGAAGGCCTAGAGCAAGGTGTGAGGAGACTCTGGGGTGGTCTCAGGGGTGTGTAAACATCAGGACTCCCCAAACCCTGTGCTTTAACCACGTGCGGGGCACTGTGTGTCAGCTGCCCCTCAGCAGCTCACAGAAGAGGTCACAGTGGAAGTTAGGAAATGGTTGTAAGTAAGTGACAGAAAGCCCCACAGCTACTGAGTCAGAAAGAGAACAGTGGAGCAAATCCAAATAAGTAGAAAAAAGAGAACGATAAAGACCAGAAATTATTATTAGACGCAACAGAGATGAGCAGCGAGGAGCACCGAGACCCAGTGACGCTTCTTTGAAAAAGGTAACGAAATTGGCAGAACTTGGGCAAGTCTGACCAAGATAGAAGGCCCAGCCAAGCCAGATTAGGGGAGGAAAAGCAGGTGGTCAGGGACGCAGCAGGAACGGAAATGTGCTCAGGTAGTTACAGTGAGAATTACAGACACTGCGTTACAGATATCTTTTACAACTGAGATGAAATAAAAACTTTTTAGAAAAGTGTACATTTGTAAAATTGACTCAAGCATCGGTAGAAAATTTGAATGGAATTCTAGCCATTAATTAAACCAGTCACCCCCCACTCCCAAGAAATAGATAAATTGAAGCAAGTCAAAGAGGTGGCTGTGGAGAAAGAGGACGCAGGTCTCCCAGGAGGCTTTTCTGTGAGAGGCTCTGCATTTGGGGGGCTGCCTACCACCTGTATCCCCAAACTAGACCAGGAAGGAAAACAAAATGACAAGCCATCCTCAATTATAAAAACACTCACATTTACACTGAATCCAATCGTACTTTTAATAGCTTGATTGGTTTTTTCCAAATCTATAACTTCAATCAAAATCTCATTTTTCATAGCACTTGACACTCAAGTGGAAAAGTAACCGCGTCAAGCTGAGTGGCAAAGGCAGCAGGGAGGTGTCATAGAGCACAGACAGACCTGGAGAGGGACATCCGGGTACATTGTGCCCCAGTTGTGAGCAGGTTCGCCTACACTGAGGAGGAAACGTAACTGGATAGAAGTTTATTGATCTCTCATGGAAATCAAGTTTGGGAACAGGTCACCCGGAACTGCTGTGGTCGGCTGGTCACCCTGAGGCCAGGTTCCGTCCTCCTGCACCGCCACTGTGTCGCCTGTCCTCAGGGTCTCCCCAGTGCCCAGAGCTGGCCAAATCCCCAGCAGCAGGAGGGCCAGATGGGCAGGCCTCCAGCGGCTCGGGCTGGCAGGGCAGCTGCGTTTCACCACCGAGGACCTGGTGTGCGGCCGCATCTCCTTGTGGAGGAGCCTGGGTTAGCTGCCGTCTGGAGGGGGATGGAGGCCCTGTTGCTCAGAAGGGAAGGGACGCAGGGCTGCAGCTGTGGTCTGTGCCACGTGGGGGACTCGTGGATGAGGTGACCCGGCTGGCGTCCATCCTGAGCCAGGGCCACGTACGCAGAGGCACCTGCCGACAGATAAAGACCCGGGGCTGCACCGTGGTGCCCAGCACTGCTGGCGGGCCTCCACCTCAGCAGGCTTCTTCAGCAGGGCACAGAAAGCCCAAATGAAAAAGAGAACCATGAATCAGTTCGACCGTATTGAAATTTTAAAACTTATTTACCAAAACCCCCATAGATATATTGGAAAGAAAAGCCACACTCTGGGAAAAGAGATCTGACTCACATAACCAGCAAAAGGTTTATAAAGATAATTCCCACAGCTCAGCAAGTCAGAGGCATGGACTGGAAGGGCCTTTGCTGGGGGGCTGTGAATGCTCCATCTTCCTGAAGTGGGGCTCCACGCATGCACATAAAAGTCAAAACTCAGGGACGCAAGCCCTTAAGATCTGTGCCTTTCACCGTGTACAGTGGTCGTCATCTCGAAGAATAAGCAGACGCAAGGCAGGAGGAAGGGGACAGCGTGGGGACAAGTGCCCTGGCCTGCCCCCTTCCCAACCCTGTGGCTCCACCACCCAGGGCTAGCGCTCGGCCCGTGAAGCTGACCCAGCTCAGACACGGGGGCTGGGATTGGGGATCAGGTTCCCACACACCCCTGACTTGGCTGCAAATCGAGGGTCCCATCCGTGGGTTCAGTAGGTCGCTAGGAAGGCTCACCAGTCAGCCAGATGGAAGGGGTACGTGGGAGGAGGAGCCCACCCCTCAGCCTGGGGAGCTTCCAGCCCTGTCCTCAGGGGTCTCTATGCAGACGGATTGAATCCTTGGTCCTTGGTGATTAACTCAACCCCAGCCCCTCTCCCCTTCCGGAACCACCCTCTAATCCTGTGGTTGGTTCCCCTGGCCACCAGCCCCTTCCTCCCGAGTCACCTGGTCAGCATGAATTCGGCATGGTTGAAAGCGGCTAGTTGCTCAGTATCACACCAGCAAATGGCCGGATGGCGCCATGAGGCGGCCAGCTCCTTACAAGCCCCTCCCGTCCCTGCTGTGGGGGAGTGAAGAGTCCCCTGGGCTGTCCCGTCCCTATGGAAGGCCCACAGCAGGTACGGGGAGGGCTGGCCTGGGTCTTAGAGAGAGGCAGGGCCACCTCCCACAGATGGTTCCAGATGGGGACAAGGGCAGTGGGCTGGCTTTGGAGTGAGGCCACAGTGGGCTGGGGTGGGGGAGGTGAGCCGTGCTGCCGGGGTCCATCTGGAGGGCAGTCCCGGGAGCGGTGTGGGGCCTGGGGTGGGAGGGGCCCGCGGGGGGCTCCCCGCCTCTGGGTGAGTTCTGTCGGCTGGGCCAGGCGTGGGTGGGAGGGAGGGAGTTCTCGGCACTGCTGAGCCCGGAGGTGGGGGGAGCAGAGACCACCTGCCGGAGGGCAGCAGCTTGACTGTTCAGAGCGCTGGGCGTCCACCACCTTCACTGTGTGGGCGCAGACTCAGAGGTGGGCCAGGAGGGCGAAGGGGGGTTTTGGCTGTGCCCCTCCGGGATCGGGGGGAAGGCTGTAGGTCGGCACAGGGGAGCTGGGCCGGTACGTGACAGCACGACCACGCTCTGAAGCCTGTCCTCCGAGAAGTGACAGAGCAGGAGGGACGCCTGTGTGCAGACACCTGTGTGCTGCGGCGCCAGCACTGCAGCCCCTGTGAGGCGGGGTCGTGGGGTGGGGCCAGTTTCCAGTCTTCACAGAGGGCTGCCCTGGGGCGGCGGGCTGCAGCGCACACACCCTACGCGTGCACATCCTCGCTGTTCTCTGGAAGGCTCACTGGCGGGAGATGCAGCAGAGTGGCTGGTGTGCCAGACCACTGCCCACCAGGGCCTCCGCAGAGCAGTGGTGCCTAGAGTTCGCGAAGCATGTGTTCAGAGCTAACGGCTTGTGTGTAACAAGTTTAGGTCTCTGCAGGATCGCTGGTTTCAAGTTTGCCCCAGGGGTCTGAATTCAGCTCAGCTTGGCCTAAACCCACAAAGACGCTTCTGATTCACATAAGAAAGGGTGCGCTGTGGTTTCTGTAAGCGCCGAATGTTTCTTGCTTTTCTTCGCTAGATAGGAAAACGTGTGTTTTAATTTCCTCTTTAGAGGGTGGGAGGGATGGGATGTAGCAATTTGAGGATTTGTCCATTCAGCACCTATTGATCTGTGTATGCCAGGTGTGTAGGTTAAGTGCTGGGGTATTTCCAGTGAACTAAACAGTCCAGTCCCCCTCCACGTGGAGTGTATGTACGGGAGGGCGGGTGGTGGCGCACGGTAAGTGCTGCAGGAGGTTGG